CCCTCCGTTCTCCCTCAAACCATAAAATACCCCCCCTCCTCCGGCAAAAGATTATTTTTCATGGTAATAAGCCGGAAAGGGAGAAATGTCTTGATATCCTGTGAGTAGCATTCCATTGGTAAGACGTTACGCATGCGCATGAACAAAAATAACTTTTAAAAAAGAAATTGTTGTAAAGGAAAATTCCCTGTCGATTGAATCATAACAAGCTTTGAAAATTTCTACGCAAAATATATTTTGTCCCAAACAACAAATTAAATGTCAGTGAACGGCACCAGACTCCCTGTTTGACTTATTACTCTTCTTTCTGAGATCGCGTGACAGACATCTATAAGTGCATTTTTCTCGGAATCAGAGCATTGTGTTTGACCCATTCCTCTTCCTTTTGAGATCACGTGACAAACAATCAGACACGGGCGCGGGCGTATTTTTCTCGAGTCAGAGTATTGTGGATTTAGGGAAGAAACAACATTGAGTGACAGAGATGGAGGTAAGTTACTCTCTTTCCGACGTTCGATTTGTTTGGGGTTTTTTTTCTCATAGCTCGATGTCTCAAAAACAAATACCAAAATCAACTCCCTTGGATAAGTTATTCGATTCAGGAACAGTCTAGTTACACTCAGATGATGCTTGCACTGAAATGTATACGGACTTTGTGATGTTTAATTCAACTCTTAAACGCCTACGAACTGAAGGAATCTGCAGAGCGTTAGCTTCACGAAGATTTGACTTAGCGCAATCGAGATTTTGTTCACTTTCAGAATATCATTTCAATATAAATTTCATTTTTCTTTTCTTAGAGAAATTTCCCTGTCGCTTCACATTCTGCCGTGGTCATTCGTGCCCTCGCGATCAATTTCTAAGACTTTCATTGCAAAGCGCACTAGAATATTCTCTTCCTGAAGGTGCAAAAGCAATTACATTTCGGAATCTACTATGAAGAGCTTGAGTAAACTCCAAGCAGGGGAGAAGTCAGTTAAAGAATAAATAGCTTTAATTTTGAGCATGCAGCGATTTGGTTTGATGGTACAGTGGATCTTAAGCGGAAAATTCCGAACGCGTTTCTTGCACTTAAGTACTTTGGACACCTCAGCTTTTAGAGTGCTATTCCTCGCACGATACAGACCGATTTCCGCCAACCTCTAACATTCTAGCATTATAACTATATTTCGTGAAAAATTTAAGGAGTTTGTGCCCAAAAATGCTTCCATTTCGTGTCCACGCCATTCGAATTCAGAGATAATTCACTCAGAAATCGAAACGAAACTCAATACCTCTTAAGATGCACATTCAGTGACCTCACCAGACATAGGAACGAGCTTTGGCTTGTAGAGATTCGAGAAATAAATAGATATCAAATTTAAAGGAGTCTACGTGAAATCCGAACTTCAGAATAGAGACTGAAAATTGCATCCGCGGTGAAAATCGTAATTTGCATTCCCAGGTTGCTGAGGCACCCCCACGTGTATAAAATCTGACAACAAGCAGACACACAGTTACTCTAGATTTCTTTAAAACGCTGGATATATTTCGAAATCCCATCGTTTTTCAATAAACAACGAAACTAGTATTATTATCCATAATAAAAAAAAAACGTGACAGGTGCTACTCTGTATTTAAAATTTCGAACGGGGAAACAATTTCCATTGCAGATTTACGTTTGCTGTCAAAAACGGAAAATATTGCCTTGTCGATATTTTCGATGTTCGCTCGTTTGTGACCTAGACACTAGAATTGATTAAGTGGGCCTCGCCAACACGAACCATTTTCTGCTTCGCTTCAGTTCATTTTCTGCATGATATGACCAACGATTACTCGAACTGGTTTGTCGATGAGCGCCGCACATCAACAAACTAATTTTGGGATACTTAAAAAGTGCTGTGGTAAAAATAATGAAATATTTTGAAGCACCCTTTTATTGACCTTTTAGCATTACACTTAACGTGTCAGCACTCATCAAGTTCAAATTTTCATTTAACTTCAGCATGTTGTGGACCATGGAGTGCTCTGATGCTTTTATGCCTCAATCGACTTCCCAAGACTAAGATTAAACGGAAGTTGCAATTTTCACTGTGTGAACAGAAATACTTCCTACACAGTATTGTTCCTTATTTCATGAGGAAATCGACTTCCCGATAACTCAACCATTTCCAATATCCTTCCAAGATTCCATTTATAAGGAATCGACTGTGAATTTTTTGGTTCATATTCTAGATTTTTGGGATTTGAAGGATGTTATATATCATAAACAATCCAATCAGTCTTTCTCTGTAGACTGTATTCCGCTAGGTACTTGTCCTTAATATCCTCAATACTTTTCAAAGCTGTCACTTTTTCGTCACGGTTTCTTCAAATTGTTTTCGCTAGTAAACTGGTCCTGATCAACCTCTTTAAGGCTTTGAAATGTTGAATTCGCAAACAAACAAAAAATATTTTCAAACCTGTATGCCTCGTTGGACAACACAAAGAAGACATTTTTTCATTTTCTACCGCTGACTCTGAAAAGAATTCTGCACCAACCAATCAGCGATTGGTTAGATTGGTTAGAATGTGATCCCCTTTGAGAACTTAAATTTTTGATTTCGAGGTTAGGAAATAGCCTTCAAAAGGAAGTGGCGATTTTAAGAGAAATGTTTCAGTCCTAGTAAAAGTATGGAATAGGAAGATAAAGACTTGAAAGGGAAGCAGTCCATATAGATTTTTATCAAGCTGCAACAAGTGTGAAATCACTTCGTAAGGCAGCTGAATTTCACGTAAATTAACAACGCCAAAACGGTTTTAATCGGGACTCAGAGCATATGGTTTGAGTTATAACTTTGTTTCTAGAAAAATCAATTTAATTGTGTTTAAAAAAAAGCCTTGAAGTTTGGCCACAAAAATGTGAACCGAGCTCGCATTATATTCGTTGCTCCAAACCCGGGATAAATGGATGTAACATTTTTTTTATATATCTTTTAACTGTCATGCAGCAAGGTTACCCAGTTATAGCTCAACCAACCAATTACCAGACCAGGAATACAACTGTAGTTGTGAATCAGCCAGCACCCATCGTGTTTCAGCAGGGAATGCGAGACTGGAGCTCTGATCTGTGCGGATGCTGCGAGGACTGCTACTCTTGTGAGTTAAACAATTTTGAGGTGTCTCGCAAACGAAAGGAAGCGCAAAATAAAAGAAAAGAAGAGAAAAGCTCAGCCAGTGTCATCGACTTTTCTTGCCCCTATGCTTTTGGCGACTATTTCACTCTCGTTCCCAGATCCCTTTCTTCTCTTTAAAACGTGGGTATGCTCCAGTCTATCGTAGTCATCGTGGTGCTCGCTGTGCAAGCATAGAATCTCAAATCTATATAAAACACATATAATTGTGTTTGCCGTTTTTATAAATTGTTATAGGTCATTTTTGGAATATCGTAAAAAGGCTTTTACTGCTCGTACGATAAACAGTATGTTCCCGATTTGTTTTCTTGTAGTATGTATGGGATTGTTTTGTCCATGTATTTTACTCTGTGATGTGTCCCAGAGAATGGGTGAAGGTTGTTGCTTTGCGACCTGTTGTCCTGGAGCTTTGTTGGGGCTGAGGATCAAACTCAGGACACAGCAGAACATTCAGGTAAATTTCGTCTGTGTTCGTTCTAGATTTACGCAGATTCTGAATGTTATAGTATACAAAAGGTAATCTGCGATCACACACTCTTCCATACCTCTTACCCTCGCCTAGAGGGTGTTTATCAAGAAATGCTTTCAGTAGCAATTGCTGGAGAACATTCTTACATCAAAAATTCTTTAATAACTCTCAAGGGTTTGAACTAGACTTGACTTGATTCAAAAGACTTGAAACTTTTATTTCCAGGGCTCCCTGTGCAATGATTACTGCGTGGTTCAATGCTTACCAACATGCGTGCTGTGTCAGCTGTCACGTGAGCTGAACCACATGGGATTGAGGCAGTGATTTTGTCACCAAATTCCGTGTTTGTCAACACCACATTGATTATAAGAGTGTTGTAGAAAGAGTCCTGCTAACTTTTTTTTAAGCCTGAAAAGCTAATTTTGCATGGTTAAGATGAAGTACTTTCTAAAGAATTTAGGAAGAACGTTGTGGGAACTGCATTTAATCTTTGATAAAATAGAACTGCTGAAACTCTCGTTAAAATGTGATAATCGAACGAAATAAAGCTTAACTTTAGTTTACCAGGCAATAGAAGACAGAAGCTATGACAACATAAGGAAAAGACACATATGACAAGAACTTTATGTTACAATAATTTTGTAAACCGTTTGTAAAAATAAAGCACCGGGTGACACCGATTTGAGTTGCGTAGAGCTTTGATATCCAATTAAAACCGCTCAGACAATTCCAAGCTTAGAGACCGAACGAATTACTACAACATCGAAATAGGGGCAACTACGTGAGCAGGGTGCGATCTAAAAACAAGACGATAGAAGAGAATTATAACTCTGCTTCTAGCGTGCGGCCTCGATGAAGCTAGGATGTCAGGCCAGCATGTTTGTGTCTCCTTTTTCTCACCTATTTTCTTTTCTTTCCAAGAGAGAATACGCAGGATGTTTCACTCCCAAGGTGTCATGTAGTAGTTCTTTCTCCTGAGATACATTTTTTTCTCTGTTCTTTCTCAGTTCTTTCTCTGAAATACATTTCTGATGGTGTAAGTGCTACCTTAAAATTCAACAGCTTATTGGAGCCCATTACTTAGGTAGTGGGCTCCCTTTGGAGAGCATTGCGTCAAACCCAAAAGAACAGCTGCGAACCCCTCGTTCCCAATAGACCACGAGAGGTCCCTCATCTTCGGCGAATAAAGTCCGTCGTGCGAGTTGGAAAAAAATCAGCGAAAAAGAAAAAAAACTGATGTTAGCGCGCTACAGGGAGCTATGAGAGCGAGCGCCTCACTTTAAGAGCTCCCCGTGCGACGGACTTCGCCGAAATGTATAGACAACTCGTAGTCTACGTTTCCGAAAAATATCATAAGATAGTTCTCAGTTTTCATCCTCTGTTCGCATATCGATACTTCCGCATATATACCCTTTTCCGAATACAATAAAAAATATTTTGAGCCGATTTCGTGAACAATTTAATAAAGCACTCAGAAAAAAAATTAATCGGAACTTTTTTTTGTCTCAAAAATAGAGGAAATAAAGTAGATTTATTTCACCACTAAAGATGCAAGTATCTTTCTCATTATTTTATTCATCTCAGGCAGGAGCCCATTACATGGGCTACTGTCCCAGGGTAACTACACGTGATTCCGTCTCGTTGATAGGAGGGATATTCTACATACCGACCTCAAGTTTCCGGAGGTTGGCATCTCACAGAACATCTTTCCCTGAAAATTTGGAAAAAGCATACATAAACAGATTCACAACTGAAATGGATCCATAATTAGGACCACAGTGTGGCATACCCAATTTGATCCTGTTTTCGTCCTTTCCCGCAGTCCACTTTACCCTAAAATCCTCGTTTTCCATTAGATTCCAGTTTTACTCCGGTGGAACAATACATACATACATACTGTAGTTGCCTGGCGCTAAACGTGTTCGATTCAACAAAATGTTTGTCCTCGCCGAAATGAAAGATACTGTGAGGGTAAAACCGTGGCATTTTGGAGTCGATCTACGTGAGGCTATCGCTACTAAGTTGAACAAAAAGCTTGCAAACAAGGTGAGTGGATGTAAAAAATCAAAACGAGCATGAAAGGTAACAGCGAATGGCCAGCTATCAACTGATTGCAAGTTTGTTGGTTGTAGGTAGTCCATAATGTTGGTTTGTGCATTGTACTACATGACATTACATATATTGGTGACTCCTATCTCTTTCCTGGCGATGGATCGTCACATACTCCAGGTCAGTTTTTAAATACATACTACTCTAGCTCGGTAAACAATTAGAGAAGGTTTTACTGACACATACCAAAAATAGTATGCATTTAGTGCCATGGACTCTCGTATGAACGGTCCGGTTTCAAGCCCTTGGCTTGGTGATTTTTTTTTTCCGATCTTAGCAAAACACCTTCAGTCACGGTGCATCTTTTCACTCAGGAGTATTATTGATACCACAAGAATGTCTGTGAAAGTAGGCAAGATTCGGGTGAGTTACCTAACATAGGCTAGCAAACTATCCCAAACTAAGCGGTTACTCCTTACTGGTTCATGTCGAAGAAACTAAATAATAAACTATGGCAACGTGGGTCTCTTTGTCCGTTTAAGAAAGAAACCACTATGGCTATTCATTCATATTTTGCTGATTTAGTTTATTATTTATATTGATATAAAATTTATGACGAGCAAGCTGAAATTCTTAAATGAGTTTTAAGCATGGCATTGTGAATATAACTATTCTTGATTATTCTTGGTCTTCCTTCTCAGTTAAATTTCGTTTTGTCGTGTTCCGTCCATTCATTGATGAAGTGCTCACAGGAAGGATCCGAAGTTGTAACCATGAAGGAGTTCAAGGTGACGAATTGTCATTATTATTGTACACAGTTTGTGAGATATGGCTACAGCTGTAACCCTGTGAGCAGAGTTTTTCCAAGGAAAATTTCATAAACCAGATTCTCAGTATTGATACAGTAATAGCTAATGGTTAGCATAGACTTAGAGCAGTTCACCTAATTGAAAGATCAAGTTTCCAGCCTTGGCCCTGTCATTTGAACGAGTCTTTGGGCAAGTCTCTTAAGTGTGATGCCTCCCTCTTTGCTGAAGAACAAATGGGTATTGCCAAACTATCAGTGACCCCTACCCCTCCCAGTGGAAACTGATGATATATAAGAAGGAGGAGGAGACCTGTGAAGGAATTTTCAGGGAAGGGGGAGGGCAGTTTTAATCTTAATCTTTTCATCCCAGTGAAAACAAGATTGGATATACTTTAGAGGAATGGGCCTTTTGATTCGAGTACAGACATGATCCTTTTCCTGGTTCTCAAACACAATTTTGAAAAGAAAAGTTTGAAATTTAAAATTGTCTCATTTCTTTTTAATATTAACAGTGTCAATGGAATTCTTTGACGATATTACCATCCCATATGAGTACCTTCAGCAGCCCTCAAAGTTGTATCCTTTGGTTGTAATTGTTAAAACTCAGTATTAATTACTTTGCCCTGCAAGTAATGGATTCCCTTTTCTGTCTTTTTCTAAATGCTTAGAAAAGGAGCCACTTCACTTGGATAACAATTACAAAATATATATAAAAAACAATAAGGCAGCATTCACAGCCAAGGATAGCATCAGCCCTTTTCAAACTCTCAAAATTTGATTCATAACTCTCCCCTCTAGTGGTCTTAACCCTTTAACCCCAAGAATGATTGGAATCTAATTTCTCCTTACCATATCACCCTGAATCAAACATTAGGGTTAGGAGAATAAAGGAGCTGATCACCAACTAAAGAAGCTCTTGATTGCCAGACAAATTCTCCATGTCAGCATCTTAGGAAATATTCAGAGAACAGTATGGAGAATATGCATACTGATGTTACAGTGTAAAGGGTTAAATTTCCTTCAACTTAAGTTGTCATTTAGTTCAAAGAATTTAGTTTTGAATTCATTTTCATAACACCCTGATGTATTCTCTTTGCATCTCTACTGGATAATATACTTATAAGGAAGAGATATGATCATTACTCCTTGGAATTTTTGGTATTCTTAAATACCATTTGTTTTTGGACATAAAATGTTGCGCAGTTATCCAGAGAAGCTTCTTTTTGTTCTTTATAAGTATTAAACGCTTGATTCCCTAACAAGCAACCATCTCAGTGATGAGGATGAACAGCTGTGGGTGTGGGAATATACAACTGATGACGGGGGACATGACTTGTTCATGGACATCAATGAAGAGATCAGATTTAGGGTGGTTGATGAAATGTTTACTGATTTAAGTCCTGCAGGGCCTGAAATGTCAGGTGAAAAAAAAGAAGAGATAGAAAACAAGAGATCTCCATATACAATCACAGTAAGTTGCCCTATCCCTAGGAATTTTTGGCTGCTTTACAGGCACTCAGTATAATCAAGCATAAGGGATTTTGATGGTAATCTGCAGGGGAAAAGTCATGTCCAGGAGAGCCATGCACTCTCTAATTACTAAAATAATTCAGAGGCTAAGAAGGTCATCCTTTCTTTCACTTTCTTAAAAGTAACCTTTATTTATCAATGGCTAATGATAGGAATGATAGGAGCAAGGGACATGTTATTTGTAAAACTTAAGAGTACACCATTTTGAGATAAAATTCTACAGCCATTCATTCTGACTTACATTGAGATATATTAATCTTGACGAGGGACTTTCTTTTTCATAGGGATCCATAAGCGAGCCAGGGCTAGGCCTGAAGACATGGTGGTCGAGTTGACAGAGAAATATTGCTACAATTAACTGTAAAATTTTATTTATTTTACAAACAATGATGACTTGTTTATGATCAAGTAAAATTCAGAAAGCCAGCAAAGATGTAAACCAATGCAGGATTTTAATAAAATTTTCACAACATTTTAAAGCATAGCTCTAAGTGATTTGCCACAACAGTGCAACCAGAAAAAAGTGCACATTAAGTCATTGTCTCATACATGTAACCTCATAAAATCTAATGAGCAATTCTCACTACAAATTGCTGCAGATTACCTGTAAATGAGTAAAAAGATTTGAAGTAATATCAAAATAGCACCCTACTGCAAAAAATTCTGTTTACTCTGATCACCTGTGAATAAATAATTGTACTAATAAAATTGTGTGAAGTTTTATACATTAATCACCTCTGGGAATTACAAATTTGCAGCCAATTGTTGCACTTTAAATCTGTGTTTTGAATTTGAAGCAAACCCCCGCATTCCTGGAACTGTAGTTGGAACACTTCTACCCTGGTTTCTGGTTGTTTAAGCTTCATTCAATATAACGGAAGGAGGTCCTTTTTAGGAGTAATCTTCCCAAGACATTCCTCTTGTAAATGATCTCCTGTTACTCTGTAAGTGGGAACCACTTACAGGCTTGCCTTTGCTTAAATATTATCTGTAAAGAACCAGGATATAGTGGAGTACTACTAAACAGTTGCTACAGCACAGTAGCAACTGTGTGTGTATGAGATCATAACCTCTCCCATGAAAAGAAATGTCCTGTAGATGTAGACAGGCCTGTAACATCTTGATGTAGAAAGAGCAGCTTCAAGCAGATGCTCTTCATCTCTGCTTCAATTTGTGTTCGTAACATCATGTTTTGACCTTTTACAATAATCCTAAAAAATATATATTTTTTTAGAAATGGCACCTCACAATATTGTTTAAAAAAGTCCCACTAGTGACCAAGACAGAATTTCTCCTTACAATATCAATACAATAGCAACAAGATAAGTGATGAGAATAAAGAAAAATATCAATTTGGGGATAATTAGTTGATCTAATACTAAATTCTCTGAACTAACAATATAAGAATTGTATGGTTGACAGTAAGGAGAATTACAACTTTGATCTGGGAGTTAAAGGGTTAATTCCTTCTGTAACCCTTGGTGGTAGTCATACAAACAAAATTTATAAAATGTGCACAAGAGAGACAATGCTCTATTTTTGGATGCTTTCCTTGGCATATTCATTTTGAAAACAATTTGGATTTCCTTTTACCATTTTGACATCAAAGAGTGACTAGCATCTAATTTCTATGAGAATATCATCCCTGAATGAAATGTTAAGGTCAAAAGAAAAGAAAGAAAAGGAAACAATCACCACTGTAAAGGTAGTTTGATATTCAAACAAATTCTCTCTGTGAGTACATTTGGAAATGAACAGAGAACAATTTGTAGAATATGACTTCTGATGTTTGGGTGTAAAGGGTTAAAACATTGTTTAGAGAAGAGGAAAAAAAAAACCTTTATCATGCATTACACAGAAATTGTTGTTTAGTTGTCATGTTCAATCCACTGCAACAATGCCAAGTACCTGTCATTCAGTCCGACACAACATCGTGATTTTGTAATTTTTTTAAAATTATCATCATCTGTGATAATTATACACTATAATTTGTACATCTCTGTATTCTTATAGGTCAAAAGAAAGATTAATAAGGCAACATTTTAAGAAACCTGTCTTTGCTTCTCATACCTGTAGGAATACTTTAGCCACATTACTTAGTCTAGCATTTGAGGATGTTGAAAATCTCTCCATGCAGTCCACAACAGGTTCTGATGTGATTTCTGTGAAACATATCAATAACAATTTATTCAATAATTTAATTCATTCAGAATTGCTCTCATTTTTGCCTGGCCACAAATAAATGCCTTATTTTGAAGTAAATGCAACCTATTACCAGTCAGAGCCCTTGTAATAATTAATAACTCCTCCTGAAATATTTATTAACTGAGTTTGGTTAAATAGATTGTTCCACATGTTTTTGTCTGTAAAACTTCTTACCTTAGGCTGACATACAAAGCAAGAATGCATTCTCTTGCTATAAATAATGGTGGCAAACAGTTGACACCAACTAGATTTTAAACATTAACTAACCTTCCTGTGACTGTGGTGTAGTGAGGAACATTAGAGTTGTTATGGCTGACAAAACGGTCTCCTCATTGGAACTAAAAGAAGTTGAGAGGTAAACATAAAATGCGTCAAAAACCACAATTTCTGTATTTCAATTGAAATGCACGTTGCCTCCTAACATACAGCAATCCGTTGTCATCACAGCCCTTCACAAGACTACCACTCTCATTAAAAAACATTGAGATTATCAGGGTAAAAAATAGTGATGCACCTAAGGCTAAAGCCAGCAACACACCTGGTAATTTTGTTTGCTGATCATGGCCATAAGCCAAAATTGAAATTGCCACACCTGATGATTTTCGTCGATCGTGGCAATCATTGTCTAAAATCAGGTGTATTGCCGACTGAAGTTCAAGAGAACAGGGGTGTAGTCTTTTTTCCTTCCAAAAGGGAGGTGGGGCGGATAGTAAAAAATTACTTTTAGTACACTTGGGGCTATACATTATTGTTTTACAAGACTGACAAGAAATTACCTGTCTACATTCCAAAGATAGGGTAAAAAGCACCCTTGGAAATACCCTGATACTCAGACATTCCAGGTTGCTGGTGGCCACATTCTTTCTCTGTAAGAGTGACCTGGACTGTCTGAGAATCACGCTACCTTAGTACTCTCTTGGGTACATCCTTTAACCCTTAACACCCTAAAATCAGTATGCATATTCTCCATACTGTTCTCTATATATGTCCCAAGGTGCTGACAAGGAGAATTTGTTTAACAACCAGAAGCTCCTTCAGTTGATGATCATTTCCTTAATTCTCATGACCTGAATGTGTGATTCAGGGAAGAGAATGTAGGGAGAAATCAGCTGCTTATCACTCTAAAGGAGTCAAAGGGTTAACACCAGGACCCAACAGAACTAATGACCCAACAATCAAATAAATATGAAATGTGTTGTTACCTGGACAGACAATTAATAACTAAAGGTATTCCACCATTCTCAATGATGTGTTGTTTGTTTTCCTTATCTGAGAGACATAAAAGCTACATCATTAGCCAAAGAAAATTACGCATGACTGTTAAACTTTTCTTTCATCAGTTTCTTACCCAGACTGCAGTTACATAATCCTCCAATCCCAAACTCAACAAACTTTACATTTTCTTCTGTAAGCATATCTGCAAGTATCAGACAAAAATTATTGGTGACAAGGCTACTTTTTACAAGGAGAAATTTTGAGTAAACATGTAGTATTTATTTCAATCAACATCTCTTTCTTCCACTTACTTGGAGCACAATGTACATGTTATATAAAGCATGACTGTATGTTTGTAAATACCAACTATTCAAAAAACTCTACCATGTTCTCAAAACAGTTCTATGCATAAATAAACTTGACAATCAGGCCCCGGTTGTTCGAAGCTGGGTTAAGGTAACCCAGGGTTAGTGTGAAATTTGATTTCAGGTCTGAAAACTTTAAGAGAAAATTCAGTTCAAATCTTTTTGCTTGCAATTTGATCATTGGATGTTCTAAAAAGAATAGTGAAAATTTTCCCCAAAAGACTTTTGAACAAAGAAATAAAGAAAGCTGGATTAAAATTTAACCCTGGGTTAGAGCTAATCGGCCTTTGAACAGCTGGGCCCAGAGCTCTATATCCATTTGATTCCAAACTTTTGCTTTACTATCAGACACATTAACTCTCTTCTTTTCTCTGGCTAGAACTAAATGTAAATCATCTAAAGTGGAATTGTTCAACTCTGAGGAAAATTAATTTCCTATAAAAATAAATTATGTTTCTGTTCTCACCCATAAAAAGGTCTAACACATTAAGCTTTCTGAAGTGACCATAGTTGATAGGATCATACCCAAAATTGGCTAAGTTGGCCAAGATTTCTTCCTTAGAACCTAGATAAAAATTATTTAAAGTCAATTCAGTTGTAAAAACGGATCATGGGACTAAAAGAGTGCAGTGTTCACTTCTGAATGTATTGTGCTGCTTAGTTGGGAGTTTTTAGTTGTGGAGGTGGTAAAAACGAAGTTGGTGGGCCATGAACTTGACCATTTTATTGGTTGTTGCTTCTTTGTCTTTTTCCGAATTAATCAGGTTTCTGTGTAAACTTTTAGGCCTAGGTCGATGAGGTTGGCGATGTGAGAGTAGAATAGGTTTTATCTGGCTTTGAAGAGACTGGTAAATTGTCTGTAGGTGTCGTTTGTTTTGTAAAGTTTAATCTTTGTGATGGCTATGTACATATCTGCAGTTCCAAGTCGGAGGAAAAGGCTCTACCTTGTTTGTCTGTATCTTGAAATTCCGTTACCAAAGCCTGTAAATATTCAAATCGTCCGAGATTATCCGGGCCAGTTTTGCTGTCGATACGAGCTTGACTTGTAAACATTTCAGATGCTTTCACTCACGTTCATTCGCCCGCCATTGCAACTTCTTTCTCCCCAGTACCTTCGCAACCTTTCCACCAGCACCCGGAAAAAAATTGCGTGACTACTCAATTCGTGACCAGAGTTTGTTTACATTTACCCAAACATGACAAGCTGATCACCGAGGTTGTCATCCTATGCTCTTCGTTGTAAATGGGTTCTAAGGCAGAGAAGAAAGTGATCATAGTGGGAAAATATTGCGTTGGGAAAACTGCCCTGATACACAGGTTTACAACGAACAGATTTAACGAGCTTTCATCGTACGAACCTGTAAGTATTGTTTCAATTGCTTCTAAGGATCAGCTTAGCACTCGATAATGTAATGGATCGAGAGTAGCTAAGAGTTTTGAGGCTTCTTTCTCTTTCAGCGCAGGAAGAAAAGACATTGTTTGAATTCGGCGACTTTTCAATGCGATTCCTAATTCATCCAAGTGTCAGTGTTCTCTTGCGCTCGTAAACGATACATTTTGACGATCGCACACGAAACGAACTAATTAAAGGTCTCATGGTTCTAAACTACATATTTCGAATTCGCTATCTGTGATACACCTGTACTTATCACTCATATTCTATTTATATTTGATACCGTTTTCCCCGATGGTGAAGTGATTTGTGCAATGCAAACATCGACTATCCATAGCGCTGACAAGAACAACCCACTTCGCGGAAAAACACGTCACTTAATTCAGTCTAAATTCCTTTGCGTGAAAGCTGCCTCGTCTAACGTAGCCTTACGACGGATTAATTAAAGTATTGACGAAGAAAATTTTTAGGAAATGAAAGATGTCCTTTATATAATGGCGTCTAGTAAATAAAAGCGATGTGGAAGTCAAGAAAGGAGTCGATCTTTTACAATTTTGATAAATTTACAATTTATTCTGTTTTTCAATGTGTAAAACTCCGTGAAGAGTCCAAATGCTCCTCGCCAAGAAAGTGGAAGCAGTTACGAAAGCAAACTGTTGTAAGCGAAAGAGAGAGCGATGGTGATATCTTGATTGATCTTGACAAGACCATCTCGTTCCAATCTAAGTCTTGACATATAATTACTAGAAGCTGACAACATTTTTCGATGAGCCAGGCCCCTTAAGATCACTATGAGATAAAAAAATTCCTCTCTGAACATACCTTTGTTAACGATTTAGCATTATTTGACACTGTTTGCTTTCAAAAAGTTTCATTTATGGACGAACGTTATCCGAAACTTTGTCCGATGCAGTACTTTTTTTCTTTTTATTTATGCATTTATTTCGTATTTGCTTTTGACGCTGTTCTCGATTCTTTCAAAAAATTTTTAAATTAACATAAGGAAACCACGCGTCCTTTCGATCAAAATTATTTAAAAGGATCGATGTATCGCTCACATGGACTCTTCTCCGAAATTGTGGCCGAAAATAAAGAAAGATCATGAGAAAAATACGCATGGAAATGGAAATGCAAAGTTCAAAAGCACGAGCTTAAGAACTCAAAGAAATACCGTGGATTTCGATTTTTTTATTTATTTATTTATTTTTTACCCTCTGCAGACCATAGGGGCGGCGTATGTGGCGAAGAAAATGACTGTGGGCAAAAAATACGTCACTCTTGGAATATGGGTGAGCCGATCCCTATCTTAGCATGAATTACCATTTTCTAGCGATGAAAGTTTTCATAAGCCAGTGCAGATTGTCTGGCAACAGACTGTCTCGCGAATTTTGATCAGACCAAAAGAAAAACTCACATATGTGAATGCAGTTAATTTTAGGCCCAGGAACTGTAGAAAACTGACTGTCAATTGTCAATGCCCCCCAGTGCTAAGTGGCTACGGCTCCTGTTAAAGTGTTTTAAGTAATTAATTATTTAAAAATGTTTTAGTCACGTGTAACAAATTATGAGTGTGTAACTTTTACAAGTAGACGTGCCTAGTTCGTCAACTGACCTGGCCTTGAACTGGCCTTATGTCGCTTTGATGTTTTTCATTCTACCAGTCGGTTAGGAAACGCACAGAAAAACTGACTGTGTATAAAATAATTATGATGTAAAAAGCCTCGAAGATTAAAGCCAAGCAAACAAAGTATGGCGCTGCCTAGAAATCCAACGCAAAGCGCAAACCGATCATGTAGATATTTGTGGAGAGTGGCTTGCCCTTGTCGTCTCGTGGCTTTGGCTGATGCACCGCTGTCCCTTGTACACTCACGCGAGCTTTCATTTAATAGCTTTGGTTTTTAGTGATGTTTTCTCCTTTTTCTGTTTTGGTTTACCCGAGAGTTCTTCCACTTTCTCATTTTCTGAAAGGCTTCAATTCCCTCCCAATTGGGTAAGAATCGTTTAACAACATCAGCGTTTTCCATTCACTCTTTCGTTTTCATTTAGGACACAGCAGGTTCAGAACGCTTTGAATCAATGACTGCGTTATATTATCGTGGAGCTGAAGCAGCCATCATTTGTTATGGTAAACACGCTTTCGTTAACTTTGGGATTATTACGGTAAAAAATCGTGTGTGGCTGCTGCAATTTGCTGATTTTGTTAAGCATTGATCAATCTGTTGATAATAACAATGATAAAATAATAATAATAATAAATAAATAATAATAACAATAATGATTAAGCAGTGGACAATCCACGAGGTGGGTCTTCCTGTCCACTGTTTCCAGGCTGAGTTGAACTGACTCTCTATATTTGTCCAGTTCTTTATAGGCCCAGCAGCCGTAGTTAATTAATACCTGCACGTGTTTATTTCTGTTTATGTATGTACTAGATATATGCGACTCCTCTAGCTTTGAAAAAGCCAAGTTCTACGTGACAGAAGTTAGGCAAAATAACGAGGTATGTAAGTAGTACATTATCCTCCAAGTGCCCTCGCGAAATCGAAAGTGATGGTTATAAGTGAAAACCAAGAAAGTTTGAACATAAAGGACATTCAATACAGCACAAAAATACAAGGGTCTTCCTGTTAAGAACTTTGTTCTACAGTCTTTAATTTTCTTCGGTAACAAATTTAAACGAATTTTAAAATAAAGTCATTCTTAATTGGTAACGTTACACTTCTTTGACGTGTTAATCTGGACTGATGGATGGTAAGACAAAGGAACATGCAGACTAAGTACCTGTATGATCAACTGTGACATTCCTATTGTTGTAGAATTGTAAGCTTTATCTGTGTGGAACAAAGTTTGACTTGGTAAGTTCCGGGAACAGAAATAGAGAAGTTACCAGGGACAGCGCAGAGGATTACGCCCAAAGTGAGTTTTTGAGCTTTTAATTCCCTTGTAATCTAGATTGATGCATTCTGTATCACTTGTTAATTCTTGGCTTATGTTAACAATGACGGACATTTTTTTTAAACGTACATATGGGCCAGATTCTTTATTTGAGTTACTGTGGACCAGAAGGATTCAGTAGTCCAGATATTTTCTTCTGTGTTTTTCCTTATACTTATCACATTTCCACTGATTTGCTTTCATTACATCCGACACTAATCCACTCTTCCCAGATACCAAAGCAAGGAAAGTAATTGAGACATCAAGTAAAACGGGAGAAAACGTCCGTAAGTACATATCGAAATAATAGTTTATATTGATTGGTTGATTAACTGACTGATTCATTAATGGTTGATTGATTGACATTGACTACTCCGTTGATTGATCGATCGACTGATGATCAAACTATTTGATCTTTTTTTTTTTCAATTTTTCAATTTCACCAGACGAACTCTTTTCGATAATAGCCCAGGACTTGCTGAAGGAAATACCAACAGGTACAAAACTACCAACATTTCGAACATACGGCTTTCATTAACCAACAACTCTCGTTGCCGGACTCTTGCCCCTCCTTCCGTGGACAGGAGTTTTCGATGGAAGAAGAAAAAAAAAAGACTTGGCTCTTTCTTTAGGAAACTAAATTAGGGTAACTTAACGGGACATAATTGCATCGTATTATAGAATTGATTCGCGGCGATTCGGTTCATGCACCAACATCACTGTTCGTTGAAATCTATTTCAGTTACAATATAATCTATTACGCACTTTTCCTCATTCGTCTGTTTTCTTTCGACTAAGTTTTAACTCTGTTGTTAATTGAGTTCTCCAAATGATTGCAATAAGCACCATGGTTGTCCCCTCCCAGATAGTTCGGTAAGTGGAGGAGGCGACAATAGCAAAGCTTTTGGATGAGAGAGGTTTCTTTTCTGTTTTATAGAAAATACAGTACCTCCCTTCAAGTTTGGCTTACATGAATCTACACAAAACGTTAGACCATTTTGTGGATGTAGCAGATGATCGAGCCAGTTCTGTCGTTACTATGGAGACAAAATTGTCGTAAGAAGTAAACGACGAAGGGGAACTTTGTCCTAAAAGTATTTACAGTGGAGAAAATAATCACACTAGGAATTAAATTCTGATTGACTGGTTCCTCGCTCTCTGAAACGGACCTTTAGAACCGATGTGTACATCCTTACGAAAATCAGTAGGGGTGCAGTTGTAAATGAGTTTGAGGCAAATAAAATAAGTACATAAATGAATTAACGAAGGAACAAACAGGTTAATTGGATTTAGATCTCTGATACTTTTCAATATCTAGGACGGTGGTTGGGAAATTCTAGAAATAACTAAGCAAGAGAGCCACAGTTCTTGTGACAATGACGACCCTTGTGTAAAGTTTTAGGAAACGTGCTAACAAGTGTTTTTTTTTTTTTTTATAGGGATGACAATTAACTAGGTCAAGAAGCCTAGGTATAGCTGAAGAGTAGTATCATAAATAAAAACTACAAATCTGCGACAAAAAGTAAAATTTCAAATGTAGATAAATGTTAAGAATTCTATTCAAATATCTATACCTTTTGCTATTGAAACTGTTGTGATTTCTGGTCATTAAATTTCACATTTCATGCAACGTTAGTGTAGCAGTTTACGGTGATGTTTTCATGACTCTCACGACGTTATTAATGGGAAGTCGTTTGTAGAATTTTCTCAAGAAACAATAACTTCACGATTCCACGGCTTCAAAGCTACAATTTTGCAATTTTAAAAATTGGTAGGATGCAAAGCGGCATTCTCAATACAAAGAAGCCATGCGCGATGACATGCGTAGGTAATATTGTTTATTTAAATTTCTTTCCCTTTTTCTCGCCAGCAGCAAATTTCTTTTTCTTGCTCGGCATTCTGATCTCTTGACTGTTCTCTCCTTCGTCTAAGGGCCTCTTCTTTTTCTCTTGCAACTCTCGGAGCTCCTAAATGGGAATGGGACGAATCTTAGTTGGAGAAAAACAAGAAGAATCGGGAGGATGTGGACAAGATGTGCCAGTAGGGGAGTGGTTGGGGATCCATTGACTCTGGGACTGTCATGAGCAACCCGGCTTTAAAGGGTGAAATTTAGTGCCCAGCCGGGATACCCAAGGAAACTATTTTAACTCTTTTATCGATTCATGTGTGAATATTTTACAGGTTTTACTCAGACTGCTGTCAGAACAGAGTAATTTAGTTTTCATTAATTGAGTTAATAGAGTAAACTGGCCACTGTGAAAAGTTCCAAAAACTGACGTCAACTTTGTTAGCCCTTCGTCAGGCGTATCTTGCTCCAATTTATCGAGTTTCGATGGAGCCTTCTCATGAATCGACGTGAGTTCCTGCAGCTGCTGACGAAAAGTGCGGCATTTGTAGGATTTTTAACATGAACCTTCATCTTCCCTTGTATGAACTAAGGGAAATAGGTTTGGCGGAATTTTTTTTCCGGTAACTAACTTCTACTCTGTGAGGGAAAAACGGGAAAAAATCGTATGTACACAGCGAACGCGAAAAAGCTTACTTTCGCGTAGAAACAGCAAAGCGCAACCAGCAAACGTGAAAAAATGACGGGAAAATCGTGGTCACGTGGTCACTCTTGCCGCTGACATTTCACTGAAACGCAAAGCTAAATCTCTCTATTAAATAAAGGCCTTGGCTCCGCCTCGTGTTTCACCTTTTTATTCCTTCCAAGTTTTGACGTTATCTGTGTTTTATTACTGAACAACAGCGCGGCAACATAGAATCTATTTTTTCAACTGCATACACATGTCACATACAAGCACACTTGAATGTATGGAGTCAAATGCGGGGGAATTCTTACCATCTTAGCGTATCTCTGTGCCTCTGTCACTCGTTCCATCAGTAACATAACTTCCTCCTCCACTGTGGGGTACAGAGGTAGTTTTTTGCCTATAAGCTGCTCGATTCGTTGGTATAATTCCACGTCATACCTGTAAATAAAACAAGGACTGCTCAGATCTCTATTAATCATGGAGTGGAATGTGAGAGGAAGATAAAATAAATTTGAATAAAAAACTTATGTTTCCTTGTTTGTCACATTTTGATGGAAAACCAAACCTTGGTAGCTAACATTGCGATTTGTCACGAAACTCAATCTAAACCAGTTTGAGATGCCTAAAAAAGATTCAATCCATCCGCGACGATTAAAGCCGGAAATTGAAGAAAAACTTACTGAGTAACGAAGGTAATAGAGCGCCCAGAACGACCAGCTCTAGCTGTTCGTCCAACTCGATGAATATAATCCTAAGGAAGAAGAAACAAGAATGAATGAGGGGAAGAGCCTAGTTGTCAACTTGACATGATAGTTAACAAGAACGTTCAGAAACACCTAAGGAATAAGTAGTTACAATACGAAACAAGGTTAGGGATATGGGTACACGAAGTTTGATATTTCAACTTTTCACGAGATTACCGCAAATTGTTCTCTGTAAATTTGCAAGCAATGTAGCAAACTTGAAAGGTTAGCCCTCTCACTCCAAAGATCTCACTGGTAATTCTTCTTACTATCTGCCATACAATTCTTAAAAGGTTGGTTCGGAACATCTGGAAGTTAACTAAACGGTTAAAAGCTGAACTGGTTTTATCGAAGCCCGTGAATGAGCAGGTAACAAGTTGTTTCCTACTTATGCATACGATAGCCTCTACTTAGCTTCATAAATGGCTTAAATATTTGTCCTTGGACATTATCTGTGACTCGAAACTTAGATTTTTCCCCGAAAACCATTTGCCTTTCGGAACAGAGAGCATGTTTTCGAAAAAAGTGGAAGTTTCTGTTTCTATACATTGTATGCATGTTTGTACCTTGGAATGTGTTGGTATATCAAAATTAATAACAACATCCACATGTGGAATGTCCAGACCCCTGCTAGCCACATCTGTGGCGATCAGAATTGAGCGGTCTTTGGACTTGAACTTGTTCAGGGCGCCGAGTCTTTTTGACTGAAAATAGAAAAAAAATACTTGTGAGCTGCAGTTACTCGACCTCTCTTAAGAATTTGAAATTATCTCCAATACCATACATAGGGTAGATGTAACGCAATTGCAAGAATTTTCATTTTATTTTCCCCAAGCACAACAACGCTACAAGTTGAAGAAAAGCCGAGTTTCTCCTGAAGATAAAAAAAAAAGCTGATCACTTTGTGTGCAAAGAAATTACCAATAGACTACATCTACAAGGGGGTTTCACTATGGTATTTTTGCTTACACTTGTGTACTTGCATATACGCGACTACACTTTACTACCTATAAGAACTGAAACAAACGTATATTTTGGTTGCGAGCAAGGATTTTGCCTTACGGTCCTTCTCCAGACACAGCTGCCAATTACAACATGGGCAGCCAATTGTGGAAAAAGCTATTGAACCCCTGCTACAGTTTGTATACTCTAAGTTTGAAATATGTGCATTTAATATTTTTATTGTTAGTTGTTACAGTTACTGTCTTTGATACCTGAGTCATCTGTCCATGAAGAGGCACAGCCTGGAGACCGAGATTTCTCAGCATGAGTGTCACTCTGAAAAAAAAAATACAATTATCATGGATGTCTGCATCTGACTAGAGTTTTGGCTTTTAAACAGTTACACCTTAACATCAGTATGCATATTCTCCATACTGTTCTCTCTAGATTTCTCAAGGTGCCGCCAAGGAGAATTTGTAAAGCAATCAAGAGCTTTTTCTGTAGGCAAACATTTCATTCATGATTGCGACCTTAAAGTGTGACTCTGGGGTGATACGGTAAGGAGAAATTAGATTCTTGTCACCCTTAGAGTCAAAGAGTTATTTACCTCTGCACATTGTTACACGTGCCACAAAACACCATGAAACTGTTTCCAGCCAGTTCATTGAGGACAGATACAAGATAACAGTCCTGTGGGCAAAAATTAATCACTCATTCAAAGATGAACAGGACTAACAGTAGGAAGAATTATCAGGTGGCAAAAAATTTATAATAAAAAGGAATTTCAGCATTAATCTCACAAAAACTGTCAGTGTTTTCAGAAAGAATCAGATCAGGTGACAAAGGAGTAGGCAGGAGAAATCAAGTACTGGTCACTGGCAGGGGTCAAAGTCTTAAAGGAATCAATGGCACCTCATTACAAATCTTTGTCCAAAGTGGATTCATCAATAGTGCCAAGAGCACATTCATTACCTTAAATTTGTTTGGTATAAACAAATAACTCTGCTGTAACTTGTCCACAGTGGTGTATCTTAAAAGAGAAGGAAATTCTGTGATCTGAGGCTATAGTACATTCAATATACACAACCCTACTTGATAATTGCTACATTGTTGTCACACAGAGAGCACCAAACAGGTAGGAACACCACATACTTTGTTGCAACTTCAACTTTAACAGGACTTTGTAGAGAAGCTCTTTGAAGCTTTTGAACCTGTGACAAAATGCAGGTGAATCAGATTTAAAAACACAGTATATGGGGCATGTGATATTGCTATTATACAGTCTCAATTTTTTCACTGATGTGCATTTTTCCAATATAGCTTGCTGTTATACCTTACTGTTACTGTTAGAGAAAAATAAAAATAATGTCTTTTGATTTAATATAATGACAGTCTGAAATAATCTTTTTTCCTTTCTGTCTGCAATCTACTCTCCCTTCCAAAATAAACAAATAACATATTGTACAGTGTTCAAAATAAATACAGCTGATTATTCTTCCAGGTAACTATTGGTATTTTATTACTATGAAATACAAAATATCGGTCACCTTTTTTGTCATGGTTGCAGAGTACAAATATGTTCTTCTCTCTCTAGGAATTATCTTCAATATCTTGTCCACCTAAAGTTCAGCAAATGTGAGAGTCTCTGTTCAACCTAATGATACTTCCCTCCTCTCAGTTTTGTAAGAGACCTTACAGTGAAGACGACAATACCAAGGGAGTTATTAAAAAAAAAAAACTGAAACTATACTTGTACTAGTTAGAATTTTGTGAATGGCTGGATGTGTTTGAGGTATGTGAGTAGCGATGGGTTCCAACCGAAAACTTATCACCAAATTTGGGTGTTTTTACCATTTCGCTTTGCAGAGATCGGCTAGGGAAGGTACAAAGTTTTTAAATGCATGTGCTGTGCTATTGTTTTGCCAATTACATCTTCTGTTCTGCCATATCCTTGTTGCCATTGACGTTTTTGGTTTGCATAAGCTCCCTAATACCAACTATTTTTTTAAATTTGTTTATGTACACAATGCACTATACAAGCACTATCCTTATTGAAAGCAAAAAACCTCTTTCAATACTCCAACTGACTTGAAATTCAATTCATCAGGAACAAAACAAGCAAATACATACAACACTACATGTCAACAAAAACTGACAAATAAAAAGAAATAGAGATTCCAAGATAAGTTTCTCTTCTGTTTCTAAGAGCCCATGCAAAGTTGTACTAATAAAGATAATTTTTAAATCAATTTATTTTCTATCATTTCTTTCACATACCTCTTTTTCGAAATCAAGATTTAATATCCTATCAGCTTCATCCATTATCTATAAGTACAAAGTGAAAGAATTAGCAAAAGATTACCTTTTTAAATTTGTATTCTGATCATTTGTGACCCAGTGACAAGGTAAAGAGATTTGGAAAACATTGTACAGGTGTATATGTGGGGATAAACTTGTCTCAAAAGTAACAAGAGTAATTGCAACAATATTCACCTACCAGATATTTCAGAGTTCTTAAATTGAATCCTTTTGTGTTTTCTAAGTGATCAACAAGCCTTCCTGGTGAGGCTAAAAAACAGAAAATTTTTGAGTGCCTATTTCTCCTTGGTGGAAGTAAATGTCACAAACATATTTATGACAAGATCAATTTGTTACAGATACAGAGTGTAGATGATAAATAAATCATAATAATTGAACATTACATATCTCTGATTTTAACTTATTGACTATTTTCTGTCAAATCTGATAGGACAATTTATCTGTTGGGGTAATAAAACATGTAATAACAGTTCTGGTTTGCTGATGTTTTAAAGCATAATGCAATGGTTCTCCCTTATTTTAAGAAGGACTAGTGAAATTAAATTTTTAATAAACCTGTACAGCAATCCTTCTACCTGTTAAATTTTCAGGAATTCCAAGTGATTTTAGGCAATTGCAAAGGTACTAGAGGCTGTAAATTTTACCAGTTATCGCCTGAAAAGGGCTGAAAGAATGTCTTTTTCTCCAATGTCAAATTTTGCAGTTACCCTTGAAAATTTGTTTCACAACCAAAAGTTAACTTTGGGACAATGTTACAGCTTTAAACATCACCACATCATCATCACAATAATTTTTTAAAAGAGGTTTAAGTGATATACATGTATATGCATTTCAAGTGGTTATTGATAAGATAAAGTTATAAATAAGGTACTTTTTCATTACCTATTATGATGTGTGGCTTTTTTGCTAACATGAGAGCCTGTGACATCATATCAATTCCCCCAACTATTACAGCTGCAGATAATTGAAATATATAGTTTAGTCACATCTTGATGATATCAAATGGTCAAAAGTCATGTGGTACTCAACTCAAATGTTACAGCGCTCTTTGATTGAGTGCAGCAAAACCAAAACCACAGTTATGACAACAACCAGTAAGAAGAAGAGAGAAAAATACCACAACAGTAAGAACCCATGAGAACTTAAACTAAAACCAAGCAAACTATCCAAAGCCTGGGGAAACACAGGTGGCCAAGCCATAATTGGTTCTAGTTTTGCATCATTCTGTAATTGGTTGAGAGTGTGGTACAAGTTTTTGAGACCAATCACAGAGCAAAGCAAAGCAAAAAACAACCCAATCTTAGATTACAAAATTAAAACACTCACCACACTTCACTCCAATACTTGCTCCTAAGGCTTCAAACTGTTCAGAAATCTGAAATGCCAGTTCTCTGAGTATGCCAAAGAATAGAGTATAAAATAATGACTATTAAGTAAACTTTTATTATCACTGATTAAAAAAAATATAAAAACAATGAACAATCTTTAAAAATTCTCTTTCCATAACTTCACATACACTAAACTTTAAAAGGCTGGTGAGTTAACCTGAGCATATGAAGTAAGAAAACAACCTGGATTTGAGGAATACAAACAATCAAACCTTGTTGGTGTTAGAATAAGGGCATACAATCTCTGCGGATTTTCAAGTAGCTTCTGAAGAACTGGAAGAGCAAATGCTCCTGTCTTCCCAGAACCTGTTTCTGCTAAACCAATTATATCATTGCCTGCAAAAAAGAGTATAAGATAATCCAAAGCATATTAAAGAATCAAAAAACTGGTAAAACACTACCAAGTTTTCAGTGCAAGAAAAAATGGCTAAGTTGACACTTTCAACAAAATGGAAAGAGGGGCCAGTGTGTATTCTTTTATCTGATGGAATGTGTCATGTCATATACCCATGGTGTATGGTGTGTCCCTTTCTTATTATCAAACAATTATGATGTGTTTCCTCTCTATTGACATAAGCCATCAACATGAGGTGTTTAATCCTTACTGCTGGTTCTCCTCTCTAGGTGACACACATTTCCTTGTAAATTAGTCACGAGAATTTGGTGTTAGATCAGGATAACAAATTCTACCTGATAAATTTGAATATTCTCATGACCTGTTTGCTGGATAATGTATGGATGTTAAAGGGAGAAGTTGCATGTTGATCACTTCTGAGAGTTTAAGTGTTAAAACAAAAAGACCACCAGGACAAGGTCCTCAACCCTAATGGCTCGATTTTGGATTGCCTGTCATTAATAAGCATTCTCTACTGAATAAAATATGAAATATTCTCGAAATATTGCCAAATTTTACCAATAACTACCTTGTAAAGCAACTGGAATGGCTTCTCTTTGTATCTTTGTGGGTGACTTCCATCCCAATTGTTGGCAGGCTTCACACAAAACATCAACAATTCCCTTATGAAAACATCAAAGGCCAAATTACAAAGTTTCATTTGAGAGCCTTTATCTAGAAATGTGTATTATAACCCCTTATTACCAGTGATTTGAAAGTAACGTCTTCTCCATCTTTATCAACTTCGTCTTCGACGGCCGCCATTTTGAAAGTTTCTAACATGTGAGAATAGCTGTGTAACCACGTCAGGTAACCAGGCCAAGCAACCTGTGGAGCCATGGAAACGGCGCAAGATGGCTGTTTGAGTCTTGTTTTTTTTTTGGCCCTTTTGCTTTGCTGAAGAAATTCTCTTGCTTGATGTTGTAGATAATGGAAACTGATCAACTTTTTCGGATGTAGACACTTTATTAGCAATTTAGCATTATGTCTTCTCAAAGGGCAGATCAGGTCACGTTATCGGACAACAAACCTGTGATAGGGCTTCGTCCGATCAAGGAAAGGAACAAGAGATCAGAAGCTTTGATTAAGGAACAGGTATGTGTAGTCTAGATTTAACCGAGTTTTTCTTTGAATAAATTGTACTTGTTAAGTCACCTTCTTATGATTTTAGAAAGCAATGAATTATTTAGATGACATTTAAAGAAGTTAATTTTTAATTTAGGAAACCGTCACAAAAACGGTCACCACAAACGAATTTGGCGTGGAGATGGCCCAAAATGTCAAAATTGTGTATGAAGTGATATCTACAGGGTTCTTTCTATAAAATCATAAAAAAAGCGTACTTATTGCCATGTAGAATGTACTTGATTATTGATTTGTCCTACCTAGCTTCTTATTATGAGAGGAACTCAGGATGCTCTACAGAAAACCCTACAGAACCTTGGAAAAGCTGCTGCAGAGGTTAGGTCAATAATAATGTAACATTTGCTTGTGATCATATGCTCAGAGAAGACTCTCACACTTGGTTTCAGATCAAGGGGCATCAGAAAAACCCTTTAGGGTTAACAAGTGATTCAAAGTACATTTACATTTACTTACATCCGGGTGTAATGAGTTGCAAATTGTATTAATTGCTATAATTCAAACTTGAAGGCTTTGTCAATTTTTGGAATCTCATTAGCCTTCTTAGATGTGTTAGAATTTTAATATTTTTAATAGCAGTGTGACAAAGTTAACTGCCACTAACCTAGAGGCTGACTTCAGGTTTGCAGTCAATCCTCACAAGTGTAGGCTCAAATTAAATTTTGGAGTCTGATTAACATTGGGTCTCTTCTGAGTTCTTGAGAAGTTTGGTAGAGAATATTTTTCAGTTGCAGATCCAGTTTGTTTTTTCTTTTTTTCTTTTTTTTCTTTTTTTTTTCGTGTAGTTACTTCCCCCACCCCACCCTCCCTTTTCTTTTTTCAATCAATGGGGGGGGGAGGGTGGTTCAATCTTCGGACTAATAGGTCACAGTGGAAATTTGTGGATACATTAGGTACCCACTCACTTTAATTATAGTGATTTTCTTTCAGTTCTTACCTTTTGCAATCTGCTAAAATTTGCAGAATTTGTTTTCTTTTTTACATTAATATCCCAGTATGTGACTGTGAGATGATATTTTATCACTTTCTTGTGACATGTCCTAATTTTCATTACTTTCAATTTCTTTGACAGGATGATCATGAAAAAAGTAAGGAAGAATTAGAGCAACTATTCGGCAAAAGTGAAGAGTTGCTTGTAGTTATTCAGGTACTCAGCATAATAAGCTGCCTAATTAGCTGTACCTAGCTAAATGAGTCTGTGATGCATACATTGTGGTTCAAATTTTCTTCTTGTTCAAACTCTCAAAATAGTATCATCAACTTTTATTTTTCTTTCTCTTGAATTTACCTCTGTAATCAGGATGATGATTGACATCCATTCAAAAGAAAAAAGATATATGAATTGGCTTAAAAAACCCTAACCTAAGAAAAAGTTGAACCTCAACATATGCAAATATTGTATTTGTAATTAGAATAGAATAAAATTTGTCGCTATTAGGTTAAGGAATTAATTTATTTTTTATTGCTTTGTAGGTTTTGATGAAGATTCGGAATGAGCTAGCATATGCACAACTAGACCTGGAGAGAGCTATAAAAGTTAATTCTGGGGTAAGATTCCAATGAAATTACAATGATATTCGTATGAGAATTTAGGCGCTAGTCACTTCCAGTGGTCAAAGATCACAGAGTAGTGAGAACCTGAAAAATCTCCTCCCATAGTTGATTGATGTCAATATTGATTCTCCCCCTTGCAGCAATGGTCTCTCTCCGGTTTGATTAATTATAGTATCTGATTGATTATTTTAAAATGTCTGATCATTTGTTTGTATTTTTAACACTTATGTACTTAGGTTGATGCAGCCAAAAAGAGGGTGAAATGGCTTCAAGACAGACTGGAAAAAGTACTGCTTACAGCTAAAAGCTACTGTCACTTATACAACAGGTTGTTGCTAGCAAGAAGCAAGGTACTAAGCTTTGCCAAATAGACTGATATTATTATGCTTTCAGTAAGCGTAATGGTTCACAACTGATGACGAGAGATAAATACAGTTTATGATCTTACAGTGTTCATTTTCTATCATACACCTTCCATGGGAACTAAAAAAATGTTAAATGTACTTCAACTAATTAAAAGCTATTTCTTTCAAACCAGACCCCTGAGACCCCTGAATTAGGATTAAAAGATCAGATTTCTGAAAAGCTGTGGAATCAACTCACAGAGGGACAACAACAACTACTTGATAATGAAAAAGGGAGACCAGCTAGTACACTGGACAACAAACAGGCAGCATCTATTGTGAAGGAAATTGCTAAAATGCAGTTAGCAGGCTCCAAGGCACTTGGTAACCTATAGATTTTTCTGAACATCATTTTCATTTCCTTAAAATAGATTCAAAACCTGGAAGCTAATGCTTGTGTACCTGAATATACAATTACACTGTTACTATACCGTCGTACAACTGACCCATCCCAGAAACAAATCCCTGAAACATGAAATCTTCTTTTCATAACCTTATTGTAGTTTTCTAACAAAGGTGAGACAACAGACACAAATATATTAAACCATGTTACTTTTCTAAAAGCCCCAGTTTTGAAAAGTTGGTGACAGTTATCTCACAACTCTTTGCACTTTGTCATCTTACGAAAATCATCTTTGTCATCTTTGTCATCTTACGAAAGTTCATCACCTCTCTTTCTTGATATCTGTCTTGGATAGGGCCAACCTGTAAAGAGAGTTTTCCCTAAATACACATCTCTGCATAGAGATCTAATGCATACAAACTCTTTTACTTTGTAGGATCAATCTCAGCGACTTCTGTTGATGAAAAGGAAAGAGATGATCATCCAGTTATACACGTAGTAACTGACACTGTTCTACAGAATGAGAAGGAAAATACTTTCAGAGAAAAGAGCTTGTCTCAAAAAAGGTAATGTTGAACTGCTATCAGTGGCTTAAGAGCCTGACTAGGTTGATGTTAATTGATAAAGTCCTTTGATATTTTGAAGTTATCATAAAATTTAAAGAGATCTTCTCAAACAGGAAACAACGGAAGAGGTCACATGGCTCCAAAGGTGGTAGTAATCAGTCATCATCTCACAACTTGACGCAGATGTTTCCTCCAACAACTCCAAAGGAGGATCAGTCTGATCAAGAATCTGATACCACCGCTGAACCACAATCAGAACCAGAGGATTTTGATGATCAACGATCTGTTTCTGTGGTTAGTTCTGTGGGCATTCATGACTTAGAGGGACATGAAGCTGATACCAAGGACATTCCAACAATGGAGGTTTCTGAGATAGCTAATACACTATTTGGTATGTTATGAATTAATGATCTTACTCTTTAACCGCTTAGAGTGACTAAAATCAAATTTTTTCTTTCCGTGTCACTGCTAAACCAAACATTACCACTAAAGAAGCTCTTGTTTTTTCAATAAATTTTCCTTGTCAGTAAAATAGCAAATGTAGAGAGAACAGAATGGAGAATGTGTATACTGGTGTAATTTTGTAAAGGGTTAAGGTTACCTCCTGTAGGCTAAGTAACCCATTATGCCTGGTTTGTATCCATGAAGATATCCATGGAATGATTGTAGCAAGTAAAACTAATAATAATTGTAGCTACACATCCTGGATGGAATGCAAGCTCATCATGGGTAAGAATAGGTCAGCAGGGTATCAAGTTTCCATGATAGTTGGTTAGGAGTCCTATGACTTTGCATGCTCCTGGGAGGAGAGAGACACAAGTGTCAGTTGTCTAAGAACACAACATGCAAGGGCTTAACATGCTCAAATTTCAAATTTTCATGATTGTGTACTGTCATTTGGTGGATTTACACTGTAAAGCAATGGTTAGCCCTTTACACCTTAACATTAGTACGTACTTACATACAGTATTGACCTGGAGAATTTGTTTAACAATCAAGAGCTTCTTGAGTGAGAAGCGAGTCACACTTGGAGACTGAAGGGTTAAAAAGATTGGCCATTTCTTCAGTTTACTTCACCAGTGAGAATCCTTTTCCTGGTGGTTTTTGCAGTCTGTGTGTTTTTTTCTTTAGCTTGAATATTGAAGTCTATGTAACACTCTGAATCAGCTTTAAATCTTCTTGTTGTTGCCTTTTAGGTACAGAAGGTTCACCAAAAAGCAAAACTGACAGAGCAAGGCTTGGAAACTTGAGAGCAATTTCTACAGCAGACACAAGGAACGAGGAAGGTGAAAACATGGATGATGATGATAAGGTCGCAGAGTACTGGAACTCAGATCATCACAAGTTCGAATGGTCAAATTATATGCAGAGTCTTGATTCGCGTTCTTGGCATGCCCTTGGGCTGGGAGTACCTGAGAGTTTTTTGTCAAGAGGTCAGTATTTTTATTACTTAAGAATATGTAGTATAGCTCCAAATCTCTGATCACCTGAGGGAGGTTCTTAAAGGGGCCATTATTGATGACAGTGACTGATATCTGAGCAACAAAATGTCATCACCAGGGACAACTGATTAAATACAATTTAATTAATTATATATTTACGGTATTTATCTTTATTGAAGATGCCAACTTCATTTATTTATAAATTAACAAATTATTTGAAGGTCCTTCTATATTAAAACCATTAAGAAGTACTCACATGATGATAAAAGTTTAAAAAAATGCACTGTAATAGTACATGAAGAAGGGGAGAAAAAAAATTAAGAATCCAGTATCTACTGAATTAATAAGGTTGTTCTCTGTGAGCTGAATATTTTGATAGTCAATCATGTCATTAAATTATTAGAAAATCATTTCCTTAGTTCCACTTTTCTCTGATTTGCAGAAAAGCCACATTTTGACCCAGAACTTCCTTGGAAAGAGAAACCAATGAAAGTCACCAGTGTCATTGATGTGCATGTATGTACATAGATTATAAGCATGGTATTAAAACTAATCCTTTACACTTTAACATCAAATTGAATATGCAAGTTCTCAATACTGTTCTCTATATACATTTTCTACGGTACTTACAAAGAGAATTTGTCTAACACTTGAGAGCTTCTTGAGTTTGCAATCATTTCCTGTATTCTCACAACCTTAATGTTTGATTCAGGGGGGATACTGTTGGGAAAAATTGGATGCTTATAAAGAATAATTGGAAGTTTTTCATGAAGTGATGATGTGGTTTACAAAATTGTTCTGCTCAAGAATATTTTCTGATCAAATGGGTGAACAAAGCAGACACTTAATATGTGACTCTCCACTTCAACTTTGCATGGAAGTTATGAATGAATAAACCCACCTGCCGAAAATGGAAATTATACTTGCAAATCATTTGTCAAACTGAAAAGACTTCACCAGACAATTTACTGGTAATTTGCAACCTGGTTTAAAGGATGTTCTTTATTATCATTTTTTTTTCCCTACAGAAAATTGCACTTGACAAGTTGCTGTTGAGACTTCACAAAATGTATGAGGCAATTGGGCAAGCCACTCAGACAACAATAGACCCCATTTTGAAAGATCAAAAAATTGAGACAGTGATGGGAAAACTTGAACGTATGTTAATTTACAAAAGTCATCAATTTGACAGCGACATATATGTGTGCAAATTTACTGAGCTACTTTTGTCAGATCTAAATTAAATGCCTTTCTGCCTTTGTTCTGTACTCAGTTACATAATATAACAATTCTTTGGAAGGTTTTGCTTTGCGTAAACTTCAAATACTTTGCTGCATTTTAATGAAAGCTGTGTTTCTCTTTCTAGTGGAAGTAGAGGGAGGCTCAGCTATGGAAAAACAGCAGGTAGAGGATTTCATTTCTGGAAAAAAATTGCCCTAATAAGTTGAAGATATATAATTTTTGATTTCATTAAAATGTTCAAAAAACCTAATTTTGGTATTTTCAGAAGCCTGCCTTAATTGTCTCAGAGTCAATGATAATTATAGCTGTATTCATTATTTTTATGTACCACACAAGTGAATAGTGCTTTTCATGCATGCCAATTGGCTTAATAATGTTTGGAAAGTGAGTAACCAGTGCTATTCACCTCAGGGCAGTTGAAGACAAAAGTGTGTCTCATGAGTTTAATTTCCAACCATTTTCTGTAGTATTAAAAGAAATAACTAATCTTTCGGTATCTGTGTTGTAAATACTAAAACAGTTATTCACCTCAGTGTCAGTGAAAGTTGTGGATATTTACCTCAACTATGGTGAATTATTGTTAAGTGCGATTAATACCAGTGTGATAATAATATAATTATATTTATTGTGATAATTAATAAAATTAAGAAATTCATCATCTTTCCACACATTTGAAAAATTTTATCCACAAAAGTATATGTTAGTCTGAATAGGTGCGGAATAGTTTATCTAATAAAAATACCTGAATATTTTTTTATTTCTATCAATTTCTCTCAACAGGTTGCACCACCACCAGTATCAAAACATGCAAGTCATATCAGTTTGCCGCATATTGGAAGCCCAATAGCTCGGCAGAAGAGTACATTTTCCACTGAGAAGTACCCAGTCATTATACATGAGCCTTCAGCTGTTAGAACAGCCAGACGTGTAAGTCTCTGCCTTGTCCAGCATGTGTTGAAATTGTTAATATTCATTTATCAATTCTGATGCCACTTAAAATGAGGAGAAAGAGATTATTAACCATTTAACCCCCAAGAGTGACTAGCATCTAATTTCTCCTTACAATATCACCCCCCAATCAAACGTGAAGGTCATGAGAATAAAGGAAATTAACTTCTTAGTTAAACAATTTAATTCTCCTTGTCAGCACTTTGGGATATGATAGAGAACAGTATGGAGAATATACATACTGATGTTAAAGTGTAAAGGGTTAAAGAAGGCAGAAAGGAAGGAATAGGTGGTCATGTTACTCCACTGAAATATGCCAGTCAGATAACCTCTAAATGGTGTTCAGGACAACTTGGTCAGCGAAGAGACTTGTAGACTTGATGGTGTGTAGTTAAATTCCAGAAAGCTCTTGTCTAAGCCAATTGGTTTGTTGTAGTGCTTAAACTTCAGGGGCCATGCAGTTGTATAAAGGGCAGATAACACTATCCAACAAAAAAATTGCTATGCAGTGGATGAGTGCAAGTAAAACATACTGTGCTATCCACTGGATAGAGATTTATTCAGTGGATAATGTTATACAACCTTTTAATAACTGGGGCTGGAAGTGCATTGAAATAGCCTTTCAATGATGCATGTTGTGCCGTAGTTTGTACCAGCTTGAGTCAGTAAAGTTTCACAGTTACCTACATTAATTCTACTTCGATAGAATCCAACGAAACTGTATCCCCAGCACTCCTCATCTTGGTGTGAAGATTTCGAAGGAGGTTATAGAATTCCAAGAATTTTCAAAGTGAAATCAAAACAAAAACTCCAGAGTGCAAAAGGCATTGTGCAGGTCAGTAAATACTAAGGACTGAAAAGAAGTGATTTCTCCCAAGTCATGAGCAAGTGTTCTATTTTTAAAATTAGTGACTACAAGCTTAATTTTCTTTTTTCCAGTGATATTGGATGCTTAGTAGATTAATATATTATTTTAGATCTGTTACAGTGTCAAAACAAAATTTTTGTCTCATGCATTGTGAAAATTTTGTTATTCCCTTAGCCACGTTATTTACCAAGAAAAGAGGAAAGTCCTAAAAGTGAGCGGCAAGTTATTGAATTGTAAGTTTCAAAATATCTTTAGCTTTCTGAAAATTAAAGATAATTAAAATATGTTAAATTAAAAGCTGAACAAGCATTGGATAGGAGAGAGGGAGTGATTGATGAAAAGATGGTTTATACTCATGGGTATTAAATATACCAACTCTCTTGGATTATCTAAGGGTCTCCTGGATTCTGAACTTATCTCCCAGTCTTCAGCACAGTTTGCTAAAAAAAATGGAAACAATTGCCATTTTTTCATAAAGCAGCTAAAAAGGGGAAATCAAGTATATTTGGTCAGGAAAGGTTGCCTCTTTGCGAATGTTTTGCTGATTATAGAAATTTTGCATCCATTTTAGTGAAAACAGGTCATGGGAAAGGCTGGGATAAAGTGGTGTTTGAGGGTGGGTGGGTGGAGGGGTTCTTGATTGAAGAAATTCTCCTCCCACCCACTCTTAGAGATCTTCAGATTTCAGTTTTCCTGTGGGTTGCATTTCAGGAAACCTAGCACATACTCTAGCTGACAAAAGATGATTTGAAGTCTTGCATTACTGTATCAAAAAATTGGTACTCAACACATTTTTTCAATTCCAATGTTAGAGATCTTGCCAATACATCCTTGTGGAAGCCATCTATGCTAAAGAAAATAGTTACAGCATTGAAAGGTATAGTACAGTATTTTATTACTGATTACGATGTTAAGATGAAAGGTTCTTTAACCTTTAACTCATATGAGTGACCAAGATGGAATTTCTCCCAACAATATCAACACAACATCAAGCAGACAAGTGATAAGAATAAAAAAAGATATCAATTACCAACTTCTCCAAACTAACATCATAAAAATTGTACAGCAGACTTTCAGTAAGGAGAATTGCTCATTATATCTCGGGAATGAATGGGTTTGCTGGTAAGAAATTTATCTCACAACATCTGATGATTAATCAGTTCTCTCCTCTTGCTGATACTCATCTCCTTGTGCAGATAAGTTTTTACATTTTCATGACACATCACATTTTTGTGGAAATTGAATTGAGTGTGAAGCGAGGTTTATTGTTAATTGCATGTCTAGAAGTTAAAGAGTTAAACTGGGAATAGAGTCTTTCAGTGAGTTTTTTGCTCTCATTGGTTTGATGGCTATAATAAAAATGATTCCTATTTTGGGCATGGTATACTATAATAGAGTAGTTTTCAGTATTGTTTTTCTGTATTTGATTCAGGAATGTTTTACATTTGCTGGAATTCACTTTTGCAATAATTAATAATAGATTATAATTATTACCATTATCATATGATAATGACTTCTTTCACTCCCAAAATCTCATTGATACTTCTCCTTACTGTCTGCCATACAGTTAATATGCTGTTAGTTCAGAGAATAAGGTGTTGTATCAACAAACAATCTCCTAACTTATATATATTTTTGTTTTATTCGCATCACTAATGTCTGCTTGATATTGTTTTGATATTGTAAGGAAACAGTTTGTCTTGGTCACTCAGGGGTTAATGGTTAAGATCTGAATTTTTTGTTGCAACAGCATTTACGCCAATGCAGAGAGAGCAGTCATTAGTTGTACAAGGTGATGGTCCCAGGTGGAACAGAATTCAGGTAATGACGAATTATTTTATTACCCAATATGTAATTTTGTTGTACAGTAAGGGTATCACTGCTACATGTACATGTAAATTGTTAAATTAATGAAAGAATCATTTCCTTATAGACTTTGTTGAGTGAAAGAGGTGTGTTGTCTTCAAATTCAACAGTAGCTGCGGAAGCTGTAAAGGTAATGCTCACTTAACAATGTACACCCTTACATGAGTGTGCATATTCTCCTTTCACTTTGTTATACATTTCTCAAAGTGCTAACAAGGAGAATTTGCCTAACAATCAAAGTATACTTTAGTAGGTGAATATTTCTTTCAGTCTCAAGGCCTTCATGTTTGATTCAGGGGTGAAACTGAATGGAGATATTAAATATTATAATTTTTATTAATTCACCATGTTTATTAAATTGGGAACAGAGTCAGACTTTTTATATTTAATTTATAAGATTTAAATGCGAACAATTACTATGTGTACACCCTATACCTCATAATGCAACCAAGCACTGTAAAGTGTCCACTCTATTCAAGGCTGTCCAATTCCTTAAGGACATCTTGGATCAATATCAGTATCTGAGAAACTGTCCACCTACCCCTCCCTTAACCCAACATTAACCCTACTTGTTATCATTTGACTGTTGTTGGGTTAGGGGAGGGGTAGGTTGGCATTTGCCCAGATACTGATATTGATCCGACATCTTTAGGTTGTTTAAGATTCAAGACCCAGAAAATCATATTCTATTTGGTGGCACACAGCCATCCAGGCCAATTTAAAATAGTAACCTCCTAGAATTATTTATTCACTGTGAGTTGCTTACTTTAACCTCTGACTATATATTCTTTTTAAAGTTAAATTCCTCTGTAAGTAAAATGTGATTCACAGTTCTTTTCCTCTTATTTAGACGATTGGTCAGCTCAAGTGCCGTGAGAAGTGTGTTATAGATACCTTGACTGAAGTGGTATGTACTGGTTCAATTACCCTTTGGACTCCTGAAATCTGATTATTAATTCACCCTTTAGCAGCTACACATTTCCTTATAAATTAATTAGGAGAATTTGGTCTTGGATGAAGAAAAAACTTGTACCTGATAAATTTGGGTATTCTTGTTACCTTTTAGCTTGAAAATATATATGGACAAAAAGGGAGAGGTTACAAGTTAATCACTTCTGAGAATTAAAGGGTTTAATGAGTGTTAGTACTCTTATGAGAATTTAAATTGAACATCTCTCAGATTGTTCATTTAAGATTTAAAACTAGAGAGAGGGCACTTAAGAAAGGGAACTTATTTGATTTTCTAAATCATGGCCAGATATAATGGTTGATTTTTAAAATAGCATGTGCAAATAAATGTCATAAACTGATTTAGGATTTTCCACATATATTATTGAGAATCTTTTTGTTGCTGTTATTTAGAGCCAATTTCTGGTTAAGATACTTAAATCTCAGACAGGGTGTGCCACTTTGGTTGTTTATAGTTTCACAAAAAGATCTGACAAGGCAAAATAAAAAAATGTGCCACTCAAACTGTATGTATTAATATTCTATTGCTCTTTTTCAGATAAAACAACAAAAAGACCCAAAAGTCTGCTATGAAGCAAGCAAGGCATTAATCTTATTAGGTGAATTCTTCATTTTTGGTTTTGGATCAACCGCAAATTTCTCATTTTCTTCAAGGGGATTAACATTCCGTAGCCACACCCTGAGACACAACAATATCATCAGCTGAGCCACATTTACAATCTCCTCAACTAGACTTTGTCTTGATAATATTATTATTTTCTTGACTTGAAAACTAATTTTAATTAAAAACCAAGGCCGGTTGGTATGTGAACATGTTAAATGACTGTTACATGGCTCATTTCTTCTATCTTCTACCTTAGGGACATGGGATCCTTATGGTATGGCAGTTATAAGACAATACATCAAGAAAGGTTAGAAAATCTCAAAATACTCTTTGCATAACAAACATTGCACATTGAGAGGAGAACACTTTCCATGGCTTCTTGCAAAAATGTAGAGCACCATCTTTACATAATACATGAGAAAAACAGTGTGATACTTCAGCCCACTGGGGGAAATCCAGTTACTCTGGCATTTCTTAATGTGATGTTTTACAGACCTAAATATCATCATTTCACAAGTGTTGATCAAATGTTGATGAAGGAACTTTTCCTTCACTTTGTTTACTTTATGGGCTATATAGGTGACTTTCAGTTTTCTGAATATTTTTTAGTTGATTTGAACCAATTTTAGCAATATCTCCTGAAATTCTCTCTCTTCTTTCCAGGCAATAAGGATGTTGTGTTGGAATTATTATCAACAATGACTAAAGCTAGAGATATAGCTTTTGTAGACAAGGTAACTACAATACTCTTACTTCTAACTTTTAGTTTGAGTTGATGCACTCCCCCCCCCTCTCTCTCTTCAGAGATATAAAAAGCAATGTTAAAGAGCGAAAACTGGGTGTCACAATGCTCACAACAGCAAATCAAAGGAAAGAAAATACCACAAACTGTCTGGAAAACCTAAAAAAAATGATGGGGGTAACTAAACTAGCATCCCATTTAGGGGAAGGGGGGGCAGTGCTCTTTTTTTGGGGGGATGGGGGAGCACCAAAAATTATTCCTTAAATCCTCGGCACACTATGAAGCAAGGGTGATTTAATAAAGTAATCACCTTCTATTTCAGACCACCAAAGAGTTTAAGCAGATGGTCAGTTTACTAATACACACTGTAAAGACCCAGTCTCCCGAGCTAGCATTTCATGCAGCAGTGAGTCTTGGTCGATTGTGTGTGGTTGAACCAGTCTCAAAGATGTACCTCATCACCAGGCTTCCTGGGTTGTCTCCACGTGACAAGGGAGAGGTAAGAGTTTGACCTTTAAACAGAGGGAAAGATATAGCTTTTTATGCATTAAATCAAACTACTGAATAACCCATAGGAATATGTGGATTGGAATATTGAAACTATGAAACTCTTGAATGTAATTTGTTTTTTCCATAGGCATTGTACGTTTTGATTAAACAAATGAATTGTAAGGAAAAACTGGTTTTGGATGCGTTATTAGAACAGCTGAGTACGGCTCACAACTGGAAGGTGAGTTTGTCTCTTTATTTTCCATTCAACCCTATCGAGTTTATTAAAAGAATCGCTAAGGTTGTTCAATTCACCTACACGGACTCTAGAGATGTGTTTTCTTTGCGTGCCAACCTTAAGTGGTGAACCGTAAGTAAAACATGTCATCAGCTTGATTTAAGGCGGGATAAACTAGGTCCCAGACCACTCACTTTAAGCGTAGGAAAAACGTGACACGCGCCTGTAAATATTGCAAAGAGCGTGAAAGTGCGTGTAGTAGCATTAACAAAAGGACACTTGTTGACAAGATGACTGTCAGTTTTAATAGAGCATGTTGCCTGAACTTCGCATTCTTAGGCAGCTTAAAAACCAAAACCTCAAGATATTCGGTAGGACAAACTGTCTGAATAAAAGTTGACACCGACTTTGTTTTCTCCCTTTGTTTGACAGCTAAGAATGGAAGCAGCTGATTTACTCATTTTTGTTGGTACGTGGAGATTTTGTTTCTTAATTTGTTTTCTTAAATAATCATTCAATCTTGTTCAAGTTCAATCATTTTTAAGCTACAGAGAGTAGTTTGGACGTTGACTTAGTGGTTAAGCGTTACGTTTACGAAAAAACTGAAAATATTTGAGTTTCTCAGCGTCTATTGTTTGCTCAATTAGGTACTATAGTTTGCTTAGCTGCGAACAAGACACTCGCACAAGATGTTTCAAGGATCATAGGAATGGCTAGGAATTGGAATGAGAACGGAAGTCCGTTTTTGTTTTTGCTTGGTTGCTGTAATCTTAACTCCTAAACTTCCTAGTAGCGAATTTTCAACCGCTGTTGAAGTTTGCCTTTCAGTTTAATTTTTATTTGGGAAATTTCAGGACCAAGAGACGTCTTTAAAGTGAAAAGTTCGGATGAAGTGTTTGATACACTGGAAGAGCTTCTTTGGGATCACGCTAACAAGGTATACGAAGTTATGAACTAAACAAATTAACAAATGTTTACTGCAGGAAGCATCGTTAAATAATATTGCGCATGAAAGCCTTTATAAAAACGTATTAGGGGGTTTAAACACGAGATTTTAAAAAGTGATAGTTAAAATTTTTCTGCTCGCTAGTCAAAATTGTTTAGTTTTGTTTCTTGGTGTTCCGCTTTGTAGGAATTGAGAAGTAAAGTGTCCGAAGCATTGAGCTCGCTTGGCTTGCGACAAAGAGCATGTCAACTGGTGCTAAGGTACATTTTAAATCTTGGAATTTTAAAATCTCTCGGACCTTTTCTCCGTCACATAGTAAAATTAGCTTAGTCATGTCCAGCTCTCTGTCCGTAGAGACAAACGAATAAGGGTGCCAGAGAAAATCGCCAGGGTCTAAGACAGGAGTAGCCCTATTTCTCTCTTCCCTCTTCTGCTCTGACGAAGGGATAACGCTCGAAACGTCAGCCTTTCAGCTCTTTACAGTGGTCAATTTACGTTTTCAACTCAGTTGTTAGCACTAAATTGCCTGCTATACTCTCCCACCGACGCAGCACCACAGTTTCTTTAGAAACTTTCCCCCTTTGATCAGAGAACTAACTCGTTCACAGTGGTCTCGTTTCTAGTGGGGACCACTACTAGTACTACCACGACGAAGGTGAGAATGAGAGAGAAAATGTGAAAACAATGAAGAGGAGCTTCATCTGAATCCATATTTTTCTTGTCTCTATTTTGTTTGTTCCAGTGTAAATTTTTTTTTTTGAGGCTGGGGTTGCTTCTGAATGGCCACCTTTATTATTGTTTATGATTTTTGTGACTGGCCGTTTTGAGTATTTCAATCTTGCATGGCTGTTAAATACCCAACTAAAAACCGTCACGAACTCTTTGCTTAACCCTTACTTTGGTTTCGCATTTGAACCAGACGACTAGAAGACCCAGCAGAAGAAGTTCGCGGGCGTGCAGTCATTTCCTTGGTATGCAAATTAATAATTTTTTCAAATAATATATCTGTTTTGATTATCTTAATTTATTCATTTATTTCGGATTTGTTTCGTTTTTTTTTGTTTGTTTAACTTTTGTTTTTTATTGTTATTGTCATTGACAGTGTCATTATTGTTTTTGGTTTCCTTGCCATTTCATGATCATGATCTATTTTTTTGTCGTTACCGTTATCCATTTTTTTTTCTTGCAATAAACCCTTTAACCTTTAAGAGTGATTAGCATCTAATTTCTCCTTTCAGCATCAGCCTGAATTAAACATTTGTGGTAATAAGAGTAAAGAAAATGATCATCAACTTAATGCGCTCGTGATTGTTAAACAAAATCTCCTTGTCAGAACCATAGGAAATGTATAGATTGCAGTATAGAGGATATCTGTCCTAATGTTAATGTTTAAAGGGTGTAGCTTTCGTTATGAATTACAGGGTTTCCCATTCAAAGCTGAAGTCTGATCTGTCGTTGTTTCGTCACAGAGAGACGACAATTTTAGACTCAGATTCTGGCAACGGAACGCACGAATTGATACTTGATGTTTTTTCATCCACAGGCGACTCTAGAGATGAAAGGAGTGAAAGAAATGAAGGCGCTGTTAGACATCTTAGAACTGGACTCTAGTGGTTATGTCAGAATACAGGTGACGTTAAGTACTCTGTGTTTTTTGTATCATAGAGTCTTCCCGAAATATGCTTCGAATCTTTGCGATATGCACGCACTGTCAGGAAAACAAGATACGGTCACGGAATTTGGCCTCTGTTTTTTACCAAGTTATTATGCAAAAATGAGCGAAAATCACCAATGTGTTGGCTATCATAATAATAAGTTGAAGATTTGATCTCCAGTTGAAAAACTGTTCTCTGTTCCTCAGGTTGTGAGAGCCTTCGGTCTTATGGAGTGGAGCGATCCAAGAATCCTTCGAAGTCTAAAAGAGCGGGAGAAAGGCGAAGGGGCATTAGCAAAGTAAGGATGTTAAAGGAGATAGAATGTATTCACATTTTTTTTCTGAAAAATGAGAAAAAGGGAGAAAAAATTTAACTTCAATCAGTTAATTTTCCATCATAGAATATCAGATTTCGATTGAAAAGCTTTTTAGTGGACGTCATCAATAAGTGTCCTCTGTTTTTCTTTCAGAGAAGCAAGAAAAACACTGGCTTATTTAACAAGGTTAGTTCTTGTGGTTTTTTAGTCGAAAAGCTAGCACTGTGTTGAGAGCTACTGTCTTCCTGGTGTCTGTGAACTTGGCCGGTAGGATAAAACAATTTAGGCAAAAAAAATTATACGCACAAGAAGACCTACATTTATATCAATAACCTCCCTTTCAAATCTGATAGCATTGCTTCCCTCCTTGTCACGCAACTCTTAACTTCGTCCAGCGCTGCTAGAAATTGAACTACTGCCCCCCGCCCTCCCATTCCCTGACCCAACAACAGTCTGCTCAAAACAAGTTAAAAATAATGTTGTGTTAGGGGAGGGGTAGGTGCGCAGTTGCTCAGATACTAACATTAACCTTTTCTAACGTGGTTGTTTTCAGATCCCCTGGCAAGACATCCATGGTTGAATGATTCAGACCCAAGCCCTTTTGCAGAATTTATCAACGAAGATCGACTAGATCACGCAGAACCGGTCTAGGCATGTTATGAAATTTTACAAGCACAAGCTCAATTATTGCAATTTTAATTTTTTTCCGGTAGACTGGTACAGTGCTTGAAATGACATTTCTTAAGAGTTGTCTGAAGTTTTATTTTGTACAGCAATAAATTAATATATTATTTTGTTAAAGTTTATCGCAGTTTGTACCCGGTAATTTTCGTTTCATGTATTTCCCTGTCCTTACTACCTCCAAGAATCGTAAACAAAACTGTCCTTCCTTATGTTCGCCAGTCTCCTTCGCAGCCGCGACGGAGATAGCGTGATGCGTGACAAGACCAAAGAACAGCCGTGAAGAATACTAGGTTTTCCCGAGTGATCTTGTCTTACCTTTGAAGGAAAGTCTTATAACCTCTCAAAACTTACACTTGGTCCAACGATGGTGCTCAGAAATAATTATTACACGCAATAATTATTTTCGTTGACGTCTTACATGCGAGTATTTCTGCCTACTCGCATAGGTTTCGTGAAGACAACAGTTCATATCTAATTTGTCATATCTTAACCAGATTATTCTGGGCTGCTTTGTTTCGAGATATTTACCGAACAAACAACCCTATTTTTTATTTTCTTTCGAGTCCGTACGAAAAGCTTTAGAAATTTATTTTCCGATCTAACATCCTCGCAACAATTTGTATGGACTCCAAAATAAATGTAACCCTTTTCTCCCGGACATCAGTTTGTGTATTCTGCATACCGTTCTTCAAACATCTCTTGTGGTTCTGACAAGAATGTGTCAAACAATTAGGAGATTCTTACGACTTAATTGTGTGATCCAGTAGTTACACTGTAAGAAGAAATTAGATGCAAGTCACTCTAAAGGATGAGAGAGTGAACCTCTTCTTATAAAAGCTACAGGTCGCTTTGTGAAGGTTAGCGAGGGCACACCGTTTTTCCAAAAGTTTGAAATTTTTTTCCCCCTCATAATTGCCTCGTGTCCGGGTGCTAGGGTTATCAACAAGAACCAAACCACCGCGAAAGGAAAACAAATTCGTTCTAACTATTCAAATTTTTACTCAAGATAATTTTATTAGAAACATTTTTAGAAAAGCTATCACAACTTGTACATTTAATAGAAAAAAAAGGAAGAAATGTCTTCTAAGAAATATTATTGCAATTCTTTGGGTCAGCCCAAAGTCGGTTCATTTTTAATGTCTTCCATAAAAGACGACATGTGCTACTGTTTAGAAGCACTTGCGATGAACAATTGAAGGACCAGATTCATCATATTCTTGCTTGGAAATCCACATCTGTTGGAAGGTGGAC